AGACATAATGAAATAAAGAGATATATACCAAAAGAATGCGAAACTGTTAGAACTATTGACTTACTTCTTGTTGAAGACCACTACATGCTAAATGAAAGACTTCCAATGACAACATACTTCATTCGAAACTATAAAGAAATTCTCAAGCTTGTGGTGGAATGAACATTGAGAAACAGATGAAGATTTATACAAAGAGAGAAGATAAATATGTAGTTCGTTATGATAGAACAACACCGTTATGGGATGTTATGAAAACATTGTGGGAGTGCAAATATTTCGAACCTATTTCTTATGGAGAACTTTTCACATATACTACTGACTTATATAAACAGAACCTTGCACCATTTAAAGATTTGACATATGCTCCAAAGTATTGTGTACAACTGAAGAAGAAAGCAGAGTCAAAAGAAGTAAATAAAGCTAAATGTAAATTCATTCCTGAGCACGTTTTCTTTGCTGACTTTGAGTGTAGTACGGATGGCTTTCATAAAGCTTTTAACATCTGTTATGACAGTGAAGATGGTTCAGTTAGTGAAAGCATTTGGGGTCAAAACTGTGCAACAGAATTTTTGGAAAGACTTCCTGACAAGAGTTTAATATATTTTCACAACCTCAGTTATGACATAAACTTCATCTTAAGACACATGACAGAAGTGAAAGGAACTCCCATCATTAAAGGTTCACGAACAATGCAAATAACTGGTTTATATAAAGGACGGGCAATTATTATAAAAGACTCTTACAGTGTTATAAATAAGAAGCTTAAACTATTTCCTGCTATGTTTAACTTACAAACAGGACCGAAAGAAGTATTTCCATATAACTACTACAGCAGTGTTTTGTTAGCAAATGACAACAGAACTGGTGTCATTTCTGAAGCATGTAAGTTTATCCATGATGCAGATACATTTATGAAGAACATAGATTCCATCAAAGGTTGCAGAATAGATGAAAACCACTTCGACTTAGAAAAATATAGCACGTTTTACTGCAAACAAGATGTAAGAATTTTAAGAGAAGGTTTTGTAAAGTTCCGCAATGACTTATTGAAAGAGTTTGATTTAAACGTTTATGACTACGTTAGTATTTGTTCTATTGCTAACAAATTGTTTGAGAACAGAGTATACTTCCCGAATGGAAATCTTTATGACCTCTCAAATAAACCAAGAGAATTTATTTCGAGATGCATTCAAGGTGGAAGATGTATGTTGTCAGATAACATGAAACAAAAGAGCAAAAAGAAACTCATTGCTGACTTCGACACTGTTTCATTATATCCTTCAGCTATAGCAAGACTTTATACTTTAGAAGGTATTCCAAAAGTATTGAAGGAAGAAATGTTAAGCACAGAGTATCTCATGAGACATTTATTCGATGATGACCAAAAGGAACCCATTGGTGAAAAGTTTATGTCTGGCTTCTTTGTTCTCATTAAGATAACAGAGATTGGTATACCCAGACACTTTCATTTAATAGTTTGCGACCCTGAACTAAATCCAGAACTTAACGTTCCAAGAAGTTCAAACACTTGCTGTCTCATGTATGTTGACCATATAACATTACAAGACCTCATAAAATATCAAGGTGTCAAATGTGAAGTGTTGCAAGGATACTATTACGATGGAAACAGAGATATGAGAATAAGAGATGAAGTAAAGAAGTTGTTTGAGTTAAGGTTAAAGTATAAGAAAGAAGAAAACCCCTTACAAGAAATTATAAAACTCATTCTGAACAGCATTTATGGCAAAACTATTCTATCTCCTATTGAGTCAAAAATAACCATAGTAGATGACAAAGATGCTATAAGATATGCTATAAGAAATTACAACCATATAGTGAAGTTCGAAGGTTTGGATGGTTCAGATAAAACTATTTTCAAGCTAACGAAAAGCATTTGCAGACACTTTAACTTCTGTCCACTTGGTGTTAATATTCTGTCTATGTCAAAACGTATTATGAATGAAGTATTCTGTACTGCAGAGGACATGGGACTTCAAATCTTTTACCAGGATACCGACAGTATGCACTTATATAATGAAGACATCCCAAAGCTTGCAGCAGAGTTTAAGAAGAGATATGGTCGCGAACTTATAGGAAAGAACCTTGGTCAATTTCATAGCGACTTTGCAGAAATAACACCTGGAAAACAAAGTTTAGCTTATAAAAGTATTTTCTGTGGAAAGAAGACCTACATAGACTTACTCACGAATGATTTAAATGAAGTTGCATTTCACTGCAGAATGAAAGGCGTGAAGCAAGATGTTATTGCTTTAACCGCTAATGAAATGTTTCCTGAAGCTATACAATGCTATTACAATGAAGATAAGAACATTCACATACCTGTTGGAACATATGACAAAGACTCTGAGTTCAGTTTAATGAAACTTTACAAAGCACTTTATGATGGTCAAGAGATTGCATTCGACTTATGTAAGTCATGTCAACCTTGCTTTGCTGAAAAGTTCAACTTTTCAATAACGACTAAAACAAGCTTTATTCGTAAGTTGAAGTTCTGAGGTCATTTATTTTTGTCAGCAATGAGGTCATTTGTGATAAAAATAAGCTAGCGTAGATTTTACAATACTGCGATGGTAGAGTTTAAGAGTTGTGCTTCAATGTAGAGACAGTCCTTCCCATCTGGAGGCAAGAACACTGGACATTTATGGTCATGAGTGGAGAACATGTCTATCCAAAACTCACGATTGAAGCCAGTTAATTTATAGTATTTAGGGTTAGGAAGTGGTGAAGTTCTTGTATGACCAATGAACTCATTTTCAACGCCTTTGGCTATATTAGAGTAAATATTGCTTGCTTTCTATCCCAAATGCCAGGTGTTACAATCTTTGAAAATTCATTTTTCCTCGGAAGCATTGCATCATAATTGAAAACATTCTTAAAATCATCACTTGGTTCGGAGATTTGAAATCTTATACGTAATGGATTTTCTTTCTTTTTAGCGACTTCATTGAATGGTGAGAATACAATGAATTGACAGTCATGAGTTCCATCTTCATTTTCATTAAATTCATAATGAAAGTCTATAAGTTGTGGCTGACTACCTTCTTCTTTCAGTTGTGCAAGAAACTCACGTAAAGGCTGTAAAGTTTGTACTTCAATGTGAACTTTTTCTCGAACATCTCATTAAATGAAATCATACATTGCAACAATGTTGTATCGTCTTTAAAGTATTTGTATATGTGAATGTTTTGGGCGCTTAAAGACTGTTCGTCATTTTCTATCTCGACTTGAAGTATAAAGTCAACCTTTCTGAAAGCACGTGTTATATACATAGATGTTATGCCAATGTACTTCTCTTCATTTATGTTCACAATCCAGTCTGTTGGAAACTTAAACGTTACTCTGTTCCCCTTTATTTTGACGTCAGGGTTTTCACTACTGAACGCAACAGATAAAGGTATTTGTCTATACATTTAGTTTCGGATAAAAATAAACCATTTACTCTTTCTTTGCTTCAGCTTCTTTAGCTTTTGCTTCAGCTTCTTCTCTAGCTTTCTTCGCCAGCAAACGTGGGTTCTTTGTCTTCCAGCAGCTAATGCAGCAAGTTGTTTTTCACTAAGTTTTCTCTTTGGTCTCTCTGGCTTTTGTTCTTGTTTTTGTTCCTTCAGTTCGGATAAAATTTGCTCACGAATTTCTTTCTTCAATGCTTCAACATCTATGACACCTTGGGTCTTGTCCGTAGGGCTTGTCTGAGTCATTTGACTGCAGATAAAAAACTAAATTAAAACTTTAACCGATGTAAAATGAGCTTGTCAAAATCAGAGCGAGAGTCTATTATATTAAATGACGCAAGAGGAATACAACATCCTTTCTATTATGTAAGTCAGAGTAAAGATGGTAAAATATACGTAAGAAAAAGAAAGGTTCCATTAGCGAATGCAGAGAGCGACAACATTAAGGTGCATGGCAAGGGGTGAAGCCCATATAAAACCTTCTGTTCAAACTGAAAAGTCAATAGAACAAGAAGAAAAGAAGCCAGATGTACTTTCAATAACGAACCAAGAGCTTATTGCAAAGTTCGTGAATTTCATTGAAAAGCAAACCGAGTCAAAGAACCCTGACCCACCAGTGAAAGAAGTTGAGACAAAAGAGAATGTACAGTTCATTGAAAATGTCAAGAAACAACTTCCACCACGAATGCCAAGAAGAAGAGTGAGAATAATGAAGTAAATAGATATTTTTATCTGAAGTAAATACATGCAGAACGAACAGCTAAACGAATTTACTCCAGCAGAGCATATTCATCAGATTCGCTCATATTTCGATATCATAGACAATGCAGTTCAAATTGGTGACACTAATAGAAAATATTCTGACGCAAAGATTCCATCACAACCTGGAACTGCTAAAGATAACACATGGGTAACATTCAATCTCTCACCTCCTGGTGAAAATATGTTGGACCTTTACAATACATTCATTACGTATAAAATGGAAGGTCAATTTATTGCAGATAAAGAAATTGGTTCAGGTTCCAATAAAACAAACCCACCAGGATTTTGGATTGGTTTCGATGACGCTTTCTATGCAGTTGCTGGATATCAAATCCTTGCAAATGGTCGTATCGTATATTCTCAAGACAACGCAAGAGAAGAAGCATATATAACTTCAAACTCACAAACTACCGAACAAATAAAGAAAGTAGATGTTTTTCAAAGACTCGACATGAAGATGTATGGAGTCATTCGGGAACATGCAGAACAGGACAAATTGTTAGTGGTCCAATTACAGCAGGAAAATCATTTGATTTTAAGCTTCGTTTAAGAATTCCTGTTAGAAATTTTCCATTAGAAGCTATTCGATTTATTCCAGCTTTTGCAGGAAACATTCAGCTTAAAGTAAAGTTCAGTAGCGACGCCTTACAATGCACATCTATATCTGTAAATGATATCATTGCTTTCAATCCAACTCTTAAAGTTGCATTTGCTTCAGATTCAAATCCACCGACAAATAAATTTGTTCCATGGAATGAACCATTCACTATGATAACGAAGGCAGTAGAAGCTAGTGGAACAGTTACTATTACAACTGTAACCCAGCAACTATTTCGAACAAAGATGGATTTTAATGAATGTTTCATTCATCCAAAGTCATTCTCTTTAGACCCTAACATTTATACAGAACTTGTAGAACATTATACAAACGAGGCTTTATGTTTTCCTGTTAAAGTTATGGATTGGATTCCTATGGACGGTTCATTCTCAAAGAATACAGATAGTTCAAGTGCAACATTTACAGCAGCTTATACGCCTATTAATGTTAAAAGTATTTGGGCACTATTTAGAAAGAAAGACAACTATTATGTTAATTTTGAGAACCCTAAGTTTAAATATCTTCAGCTTTCCATGGGAGCTTATGGAAATATGCCTGCAGAACCTGAAAAATCATATGGACCTGTATTTTATGAAATGGTTGCGAACGCTTGCAATACAAACAATGATATGATTGGATTTAATGAAGATGTTATGAGGTCATTGGTGGATGATGGTAGTGTGGAACATAAATGGGATAGCTATGACAACACACATTTCTTATGTGGTTTTCCAACAGAAGTGGACTTTTGCTTCCAGCAAGGTCAAAACATCTACTGCTCCAATAACATACAAATTGTCTGTTAAAGGACCTATTGAACTAGCAACTGAAAACGTACCAAAGCCACTTAATTGGATTTATGAGGGATTGTTGCTTTGCAATACAAGTAAGACAGTCAGGCATACCAATAATAAGACTTGACGACTATAACTTAGCAACTGACGACAGTGAGGAATAAAGGATGAACGTTTATTTTTAAAGCTTATAAATGAGTTCTTCATCAAGCTCTCGTGAACCTTCACCAATCTGTGAAACAAACTTTACCAAACGATTATGGAGCACCTATTGAATATTTCTTACGAGCTGCACAATGGCAAAGAGCAGTTTACCAAGGTTAGGTGTTCCACCAGCTCCTGTCAAAAATAGCATTTGGTCAAGTCCTTATATAAGATATGGTCTCCCACTAGGTTTGCTAGCTACAGCAGGAGCAGTTATGATGTTGAAAAGAAATAAAGCAAATGTTATAAATAATACTGAAGTAGCTGAAGTTAAACAAACTCCAACACCTTCGTCAAAACCAACGCCTTCACAAGCAAAACCTTCAATGACTCCTGAACCTATGGAAGTACAAACTCCTGTTCAAAAGTCAACTCCTAAACCGACTCCAACATTTAAACCAGAACCTACGCCTCAAATAAATCGTAAAACTCCTGCGTTTCCTTACTGAAAAATAACGTTATTTTTATTTTATTTGAACATTTTTATTTGATTGAAATGACGACTAAAGTCACTGAAGTAATGAAACAAAAGTTTTTGGTAGAATACATTAAATCAGGAATTATTCCAGAAGGTTTTTACGTTCATACTATGAAGGATGGTAGAGTTCAGTTTAGAAAGATAAAGCAACCATTAGATAGAGAAGGAATTTTGAGAAAGATTAAACTTCATGAGGACAACATTGCTGAACTTAAGAAGAAGTTAGAAGAGTTGGAGAAAGGAAGAGAGTTATAAAGCAATGAATTCAAGTGGGTGAAAAAAGAGGTGAAAAAAGAGGTGAGATTTCACCACTTCACCTAAATTTAAATGGATGTTTTCATACGTGTGAGGGTGGTGATATCATTAATTTTTTATTTTATTTTTAAGTTTACTGAAAATTTTTATTTGGATGTAAATGACAGAACAAAAGCAACTCATTCGAATTCCACAGTATAACAAACATACATTTAAACATTTATTCTTCCTTCCTGAGCATAACATGTTCTTTCAAATACATCCGAGACCAGTTGACTTTTCATTGACTGTTTATAAAGATAGAAATAGTTATATCATTAAACCATACGATGACGAAGGTAAGTTATGTAAATTGTACGTTAAGAAGTTAGAGAAAGTTTATGGCTTCAAGTATGACTACAATAGGGTTAACACTGATGATGAAGATATTGAGGAAAATTTATGAGAACATTAGTGAAGTTGTTAGTGAGAACGATAGTGAGAACGTTTATTTTTACATTAGTGAGTTCGTTAGTGAAGTGAAGTGGGTGGTGGTTTTGTAAATATTTAAGGTTAAGTTAGTGTTGTCGTTTGTGTTGTAAAATATACGTTAACGGTTTCGTAAAGTGTCAAATTCACAAGTATTGGGTAAGGTGGAACGCAGTGCCACAATACCCAACATAACCATACTAACTAGAGTTATGACGATGTCATCAATGCGCTCATTTTTCTTACCCAAGAAAAATGTTTGCTTTAATTGATGAAAGTGTGATTCCGCAATGTTATTCGTGGAATCACCTTCTCCACGATATAACATCATCCAATGTTCTTTGGTTCTTCTCCATTGTTTATCGAAATACTTCAAAGCGCGCGGTTCTTCTTCTTCTAACATTGTTGTCAAGAACTCATATGTTTCATCAGACTCTTCAGCCAGCTTTTCTGCATTCGTTGCATCTGCACGTAATGTCAAAAAGTCCATTGCTAAATAGAAGTTCTCAAAATTCTGTGGATTGTCAAAATAGCTTCCAACTTTTGCACATGCGCGTAAAACATGCACAGCGCACCAACTGAGCTGCGCAAGAGGAAATCCGTCCTCAATTGCGCGAGCAATGTTTAGCGCACAGTCAGCGCTCCAATGCTGTGGATCCAGGTGCGCAAACTCACAGAATTTCACCAAACATTCTTGAATTTTTTCAGATGTCTGAGGGTTCACTAAAAAATAGCAAAAGGGGAAAATTGTGTTTTGACTTGTTTTCATTGTTACTGCAAACAATTGGATCTTTCCTTTAATTAAAGAATGAGTGGAATCGACGTGGCGAGGGTTATCAATGCTATGCACCAATTCTTTTGCAGCAAAAGGTGCATATATGATTGTAAACTCGGAAAAATCTCCATTGTAATCAAATTGAACGAGATCATCTGGGCACTCTTCCTGTAAATTATTCAAAAATGCTTCCAAAGAAGTGTAAGGATCGTTTGATAATCTTTGTGCAATAATCTCATCAAGGCGATAAAATTTGTGCTTTAAAGCATCAGTAGACTGCGCGAAAAGTTTCATCGTTTCTTTGTTATTCGTATCAATTCCGAAGTTATCAAAAAATGCTTTTTGAGCAAGAAATTGCTTTCCACCGTTTTTAATATAAAGTTCGATCCATTTTTGATAAAATTTACTCGCGTAATGTGAACCCATTTCAACTCCTATATGATGGCAATGTTCTTCATTAACTTTGCTTATAGTAAACACTCCATTTTGTTCTTCAACCCTAAATTTTGCCTTGCATAGGGGATACGAACATGAATAAGTGACATATTGCTTTGGAGATCCCGTTCTTCTTCTGTATGGGACACCGCCCTTGACTTCCTGTTTAATACCAAAAGCAATAAGCTCCTCTAAGTCCACCGAAATCATAAAAATGAAGTGATTTTGAAAAGAGTTAACAAAATTCAAATCACATCAAAAACAAAAACACATAAAAAATATTTTATTAAAGGTAACTAAACTCCTTTCGCCGATCCGATTTGCTCCATATTTAAAATATAGCTTGCATATGTAGAAGAAAAGCTAATTTTGAAGTACGCCCGAAATCCACCAACAGGATTTCGAGCTACTAAAAAGGTACTTTTAAATGTGATTTTTTTATAAAAAATTAAATTTAGTTTAAGATCAGACTAAAAACTAATTTTATGGAAAATCTATATCGACAAATTTATTACTTATTGGGTATATAGATTTTTTGATTATGGCGATTATGTCTGATATGCTTCCAATAAGCCAAAACACATTTCATACTGATTTCTATAAAAGGTATCTTTATTATAGAAGTGTAAGCTATATCTGTTTGTTTTTTTATTATAACAAATTCAAAATTCTCTTATAAGGACTAGATGAAATCTGTATTATTAAATCATTAGCTAAATGAAGGTTCAAATAGAAAGTAAATATCAATTTATATGATACTGAAACCAAATAGTTCTTTTAAAAAGATAACACGCTGAAAATTATTGAGTATTTGCAAATCTCAAAAATCTATTGGTGAATTTGGCTCAACTTTTAAAATTATAACATCCATATCAAATCATAAAAGCAGACAAAAATTAAAGCCAAACCTATCGGCCAATTTTTTTGATATTTTGATTTTTGAGGTATACTTTTAAAAGTGGATTTAAAGCACTTATGAAAAAACATTAACTTCTGTCGTTATGATTATTGATTTAGACAATAATGATTTTAATCTTTGATTATCAAAACACTAAAGTCATCTTTTTAACATTTGCTTGGTAGCATTAACTCAAGTCTAAAGTACTATTTTATGTGGCACTCTTAGAATTTTTGTATTCATTGTACACGCTGAAATAGTACCATTAAAGTTATGGCGGACTTTCAAAAAATAGTTTGGTCACCTTTATTTTATTATACTCATTCGAAATTAAAAATAATAAAATTTATATATATTAATTTCATTAAATCAAGGTTAAAAATCTCACCGGAAAAATAACCTCAGTGTGATAAATTTATCACCGGAAAAATTTACAATAAGGTTAATACCGAAAATATCGAAAAATCAATATTTAAGGTTAATTTAAGAGTATGCACTTTTGTCACCTACTCTTTTTTTGATTTTGAAAAAAATTTGGAGAGAAGAACTCTTCGTTTTTGAATTTTATCACGATGGTTTTAAAGTATATTAGACACATGTATTGGTATTACTATTTTTGTATATTTTGAGAGAAAATCCCTAAAAAGTGAGAAAATCTAAGACGGTTTGAGAAAATATATAAACTATTGAAAATTTGAATTAAACTTCTAATTTGGAAAAAAGAAATTTGGAAAGAAGAAACTTCAAAAATCGAGATTTAGACTCAGCATCAAATGGAGAACAAAATGTTTCTTCATATGAAGGGAAAAATTTTCTTGTGAAGAAATAGAGTTTTTAAAATTTTATTGTATGTAATGAAATAAACAAATATTAAAATTATTTTTTGATAACAAGAAAATTCCCAATAGAAAATATTTGAGAGAAAGAAAAAAAGAAAATTGAAAAATATTACTCTCCTTTATATTTCATGAGATTTTAAATTTATTCTCATAAAATTGACAATTTTATACGTTAGTAGTATATGTTGAAGGGTTGTGTGACTTTTTTTGTAAACGTAAGAATTCATACAATATTGAACGATTTTGTATCATTTTTTTTAACATATGAAGTAAAAAATGTATGATTCTTACGGTTTTTATTCTTACGTTTTTGAATAAATCAAGATTTAAAAAATTTTCAAAATTGTAAGACATTTACACTCAGCCCATACATAACGAAATAAACACATTAAAAAAATTAACATTAATTTTAAAATAATTTATATTTCATCACTTATAAAAGAAGCTATATATAGATGATGTCAGATATTCCGCGATTAATTAAACATTGTTTAAATCCTGAATGGAATCAATGGAGTCATAATCAAAGACCTCATAAATGAGAAAAATAAATTAGAAATAATTATTTTTATGAATGAAAGATTCACTACCATAATGAAATACATAATGAAATAAAAAAATAAAAAATAAACTTTAAAAATTCATGTCTTACATTTTTGAATAATTTATTTTTTAATTCGTATGAAATGAGCGTCAAGACTAACGACGTTAAAAAATTGGGATTCACAAATGAGGAAATAAAGGATATATTAGATGAGGCGGGTTATGAGGTTGATAAATATTATTTAAGAAATTGTCAAAAATTCGCGGAGTTTTTAAATGAGTTTGATTATGATGGAAAAATGAATAAAGATGATGTTATAAATTTCTTATATCCCACATCTAAAGAAGAAAAACCTAAAGAACCTGATGTTTTCCCTGAATATTATGAAGAACGGATTAAAGATGATGAATACGATGAAATTGAGATTGAGAAATTGGAACAATTAAGAAATGAAATAGATGAAAAAATTAAGGAATTAAGAGAAGTTGAAAAATATAATGAAAATGAAGTAGAGGGTTTAATGAATATCCCAGCTTCAGAATCAGAAGTTCAAAAATCACATGAGGAAAGATATAAAAATTACTTTTTGGAATCTACTAAAAATTTATTAGATGGTGATATTGACGAAACACTTTCAGAAGAAGGCACAAAATTTATTCATAAACATAAGCTTCAGTTTATTGACGATGGAGATTATCCATGTATATTACTTTCACCTCCTCTTGATTCTGAAAAATTCAAAAAAGCACTGAAAAATGTAACATATGCAACAAATACGATTAAGAAAGAAGACCATGATATTTACACAAATTATTATTTAAATAAATGCACAGGTGTTGATAAAGTTTTTGATTTGTTAGATAAAATATCAAAAGAAACAATTGGTACATATAAAATTTTATGCGATTGTGGTTTCATTATTGAAGATACCAATAATGTTTCATATGAAAGAACAGCACCGAAGGAAGACGAAGTGGAAAGGTCTATACCATTCGTTATTAAGAACATAAAAGATATGAAAACTTATAAACATTATATTTATTCATTTATTTCAGAAAAAATGGAAGCAACCCATAAAACATCATCTCATCATTTTATAGCTATTCATACATTCCTTTTCAAAGTTGTGAAATTAAATAAGACAGGAATTAGATTTAATGTATCAGGGTACGCATTCTTGAGTAAATTAAAATGTATTCGTCACGTCGCAGATGATAAAAATTTATGTGTTCTTAATTCATTTTATGGACTTTAGCCCTGGACTCTCTGAGTCTCGGACTTTAAAAAAAATAAACTTTATTTTTATTTATTTTTTAATTTTTATTCTTACATAAATGAATAAAAATGGAACAGCTAAAATGAATGATAATCAAATAAGAGCCGAAGGTAGAAGGTTATTTAAACGCTTCTATAACATTCCTGATGGTGTTAATCCTAAAACTCGTAGAAGTTATTTAAATGAAGCCATAGATGCATATGAAGGATTTGACATTTCATCAGAAAGTGAGAGGTTAGCAAGAATGTTAAACGTTAATATTGATTTTTATTATTGTGACCCTCAACCAGAAGACGTAGACATTAACAAGGTAGACTTTCCATTAGTGGAATCAATAATGATAGATCCAGAATTTGAAACAGTAAATATTTTATTAACACAGAGTCCAAATGGAAAACTTCACGCTGACAGAATAACAGACGTTGAAGCACTCACTGGTTATAAAGTTTGTCCATATTGTAAAGAAGAAGTTTATTCTATCCGTGATGATCCAGAAAGGAAAAACCAAAGAAGATTTTTAAAGCATTGTGAGAAATGTAAAGAAAATAATGGAAGATTAATTCAAGACGTTCAGTTGCAAAAGACACAGCAACCATATGCACCACATATTACGAAACAGAAGATATATCAGTGGTTATTAGCACATAATTTGCAGGAATATTATAAACCAACAAGATATTATATTACTTTTGACTTCGAAACATTAGAGACTAAAGAAGAACTTCAACTTTCTGAATGTGCAACTTTGAACGCTTACTTAAAACCATTTATGGTATCATCAACTGTCAAAATAAGCCGCAAAGCGGCGAGGTCGTAGACCGTGATAAAACATTTACGAGGAATTTTTGCTTAACATCAAGTGATTCGTTCATCTCTGATTGGATTGAATTTTTATTTTCAACCTGTTCATTAGTTGCTAAATCAAATATTGAACAATATGAAGAATTAATGAATACATTAAATGAGAAACAAAAGGAAGCAATGAAAGAGCTTTTAGATGAAGAATTTAATAAAGTGAATATCATTGGTTTTAATTCGGGAAAGTTTGATTTAAATTTAATTCTTCGTGATTTAAATACTGCAAAATGGAAGATAAAATCAATGCTGGGTTCTTCTTCTCAATTTAAGCAAGTCATAGTAAAGAAAACAAACTGTCCATATGAATTGAGATTTATTGACATCAGAAATTATATAGCGGGTGGAACATTAGACCAATTCACTCAAGATTTCGGAAACAATAAATCACGTGTTAAATCCTTTTTCCCTTATCAATTCATCACATGGGAGAATTACGAAGATGAATTATATAAAAAGGAACCATTCACGAAAGATTCATTTTATTCAGCATTAACACAAGAAACAATATCCGATTCAGATTATCAAATATATCTCAATGATGCTAAAAACTTTAAGAATAGATTAGAATATTTTATTCATTATTGCAATAAAGATGTTGAAATTATGATTGACCCAATTGATAAAATTATTGAAGAAACATTTGTTTATAAAATTGATATGCTTCATAATCTTTCTTTATCATCGAATGCTTCAATGATTCGTTACGCGTTAGCATATAAGAACTTCAATCCTAACGAAACATATCCAGAAGAAGAAAATGTGGAATCAAGTTTTGAATTAACGAAAAAGTATTGGAAATATAAAATTGAATCATATAAGAAACAAGATGAAAAAGCAAAAAGAGATACTAAAAATAATGTTTCAATGGATGACTATCAATACTATCACGATTTAATCCTTTCATCTAAATGCAAAATGTGTGGTAAAGCGTTTACATATGCTAATAAACCAACATTGGATAGAATCGATAATGAAAAACCACATACCAAAGAAAATTGTCAGTTAATGTGTTGTTATTGCAATGTCGTAAAATCAAATAAAGATGAAGATGTTCAACGTTTAAGAATCAATTTAAGAAATTATGCATTAAAAAATAATTTACCAATGACTTTAGATTCAGTTGAAGCTTATCACATTCTCCGTAATGGAATTACTGGTGGTCTATCAAATGTTCAACATCGTATTAATCTTAAAGGAATCACACACATTAATAAACTTTCATATAATCCAGAAACTAAAACTGTATCAAATGAGGACACCACCAACATCATGACTCATTTCGTTGGAGTTGACTTTAATTCATTATATCCTTCATCATTTTCATCTAATCCTCATGATTTCATTCAATATACTGACCATAAAATGTATATGCCGGGAAGATTGAATGGTGTTATCATTTGTGATACAGCAACAAAGAAAGCAAAAGCACTTGGAATTATTAGAAAGAAAAATACTTTATTCGTGGCTGAAGTAAAGGGTCACATTGATGAAAAATACATTAATGATTACATAAACTTTTTACCGATAATAAGAAACTTAGATATTATCACAGATGAAAAAACAATTGGCATAAGAGAAATAGGTGAGGATACGTATCAAATGATGCTCAAAGATAGATTTTATAGATGTGAAACATGTTTACAAGAGGCATTCTTCACTTTAGATAATGCTAAATACTGGTATTTGGTTTTCATTTATGATTTTATGTATAAATGCATGGATGTTAATCGTTTTCATTTCATTGAAGGTGATACTGATTCATCTTATTGGGCAATCGCTGGCGATCCAAGTCTTCCTAACACTCAAGCATTTCAAGCAATTGTTACCGATAAACAATTTTATGATAAAAACATTTTCAAATTCGCACCTTTTGATTTCTTCTGTTTTGATGAGAAATTTAAACCTAAATTAAAGAATAAAGCTGAAGAAAAAGCACATGAGAAGAAGTTATTGGGTTTAGCAATTGAGAAACAAGGTGATAACATGGTTGCTTTATGTCCTAAGTGTTATACATCATTCAACGGTTCAATTGATGGAAGTGATTTTAAAAAGATTGCACAAAAAATGAAAGGTGTTAGTTTACGACAAACATAAACAATTAACACCTAAAAATTATTTGGATATAATAAATGATAAATTGATATTTGATGGTCAAAATATTAATTTACAACTTAAAAACGGGTCAATGACTCGCTTAACAATCGGTAAGACTGCATTAACAGGAGCACACACTAAGGCTGTATGTTGTGAAAATGGATGTTGTATGCCATTTATTTAATACAATTTAAAATTTTATTTTTAATAAAATGCCACAGAAGAGACAAAGAGGTGGGCACCCTTAAAACATTGATTTTATTTTTATATAAATGGATAACACAGATTTAAAAATTTAATTGATGATTTAGTATTTAATCAAAATTTTCTTAGTTATTATGATTTAAAAGCATATCTCCAAAAATATGATAACAATATAACGGGTGATGATATGGAATATTATTATCCATATTATAAAAATGAAATTTTGAAATATCATAATAAAATAATTTCTGAAATTAAAGACAAAATTAAAAATAATGAATATACAAAGGGAAAAACTAAATCACAACTTAAACAGTTGAAAGATTTCAAAAATAAAGTATTAACAGAAGAAGATATTGATGAATTATATAAATTATATAATCCTGAGCCACAAAACACCCATGTCCTTCAGACCATAAATGATGCACAAGCTTTAATTTATGATTCATTAGTTAAACCATATTCAGCCCGACTTTTAAATGAAGATCAACTTTTGGAATTCATCCTTCAACATAAACTCGAAGCGGGAAAGTATATCAAACCTTTATATACAGCATATTTAAAACAAATGAATAGAATACATCCAGAATTAATGAAGGAAGGAATGAAATCCAAAATCAAAGCAGATAAAATTAAACCACCTGCAACACCAAAACCTCCAACGACAGTACCGCCTCCTCCTTCAGTTAATCCTTCATCATTCACTTTATTATATCCATTTCAAACATTAAAGAAGCAAAAAGATTTTAAAAAGGATTTCAAAATATTAAATAAACCAATTGACCCGAAAATTCAACCGTTAAAGGAAAAAATTTAGTCGCCCTTCATTTGCACCATATCCATATTCATACGAAATCGATCATCTGGAATATTCAAAAGGAAAAGTTACTTATTTATTTGCCATTAACATTAACACTAGATATTTATATTGCATTCCAGTGAAAGGGAAAACAGAACAGGAAACAAGAAGAGCTATTCAATACTTACTAGATCATGAAAGAGTAGATAATATCAGGGGTGATGGTGATAAAGGATTTCAGGCAGCTATGACTCATTATTTTCCACAAATTAATTTTTACTTCTCATCCTCTCCATATACGTTTCATAATAAAATAGTTGATGCAGTAATGAGAACTCTTAGAGATGCGTTAGGGGTTAACGGTCAGATATACTGGATGGAAATCATGACTCCATCATACAACAGTTAGTATATTATTATAATAATACATGGCATAGAACTATAAACATGAAACCAGTGGAAATGAAAAATGATATTTCAAAAGAATGGGAATATATTAGAAAGCAAATGGAAAGGTTGAATGATGTTAAACGTGAACAAATTAATTCGGGGCTCATGAATTTTAAACAAGGGGATAAAGTTTTGATTCATCTCGATTATGGAAAAACTGATAAATCAATGACAAAAAGAAGACGAAGATTTGACACAATAGCTGAATTTGTTAGATATATTAACGGTAATGTATTAGTTGAAGTTGACAATAAATTAATAGAAATTCCGATTTATTTTATTACTCCATTATATTTAAATAATATAGGGTGTCCAAAGGTGTGTTTAGCACAAACCTGAATACTGCGAATAGAAATAAACAAGTTACATATATATAAAGTTTATTTAAATATAATAACCATTGGATTCAATCACGCGTTCGCAGCGATCGATCCAGGCTTGAAAGATACGCTTTAAATCATCATGAGAAAATTGCTCAAATTGCTCTCTTACAAAATTTTCAAGATCATCTGGACTCGCGAATTCGCGTCCTTCAGCTCTCTTTTTTAGCGTGCCGAATAAATAAAAGTCAGAGGGTGCAATATCAGGTGAATAAATTGGGTTTGGAACAACTTTGACATTGTTTTCCACCAAGTAATTCATTACCTTATGACTTTTGTGAACTCTTGAATTATCAAAATGAATTGCAAACTTTTGTTTTTGTTGTTTGGATTTCTCAAACTCATCAGAATTGATAATTTGAGTAAGAACATTGTCAATTAGATACTGAGCATTCATCGTATTAGGTTTTTGAAGAATATCAATTGCGATGATGCCATTCACGCCCCAAAAAACCGACAACATCATCATTGGTGTGTCAATTTTTTTCTTCGGGAATGTTTGCGGATTTTCATCCTTCGGGATCCACATGATTTTGGCTTCTGTTGCATATTGAAACCAAGACTCGTCCCCTGTTACTAAAAAGCGAAACTTCTTGGATTGATACGCACGCAATATAGAGAGGAGCTCTTTCGAAGATTGGACTCTAGATTTTTTTTGAACTGAATTAAGGTTGTGCGGAACCCAACGTGTATACGCTAGTTTGTAGTTCAAATAATTGTGCAGATAATAACTGACTGTTGTACGTGGTATCTTTGTCATCTCCTCTATCCTTCTGAGTGATGCTCTTGGGTCTTCATCTAGCGCTTGAAGAATTGCTTTGATTTTTCTTTGATCCGGCGATTTTTTGTCAATTTTTATGATGGGCGCCTTTTTGTTCATGAAGTGATACATCCTAACATGATACGTTACAGTGGAATAGCTAGGAGCATCCATACCGAAGCATTTTACCAATGTCTCGTAGATTTTTTTACAGTCTTTGCATTTTTTTGCAAGAGCGAGGATGTTTTCTTTATGATTCATTAAAAAAATGAAAAAAATCCCGCCAAAATTTCCCGCGAAACCGCCTCTTGTCTCAAAATTCATTTTATATCCCGGCATGGCGCCAAAATACAACATACTCATCATATACATATATTCATATTTTTTATTATATATTTATAATCAGCATATATCTCCTTTAATAGTCTCATATAGAGCGCTGTGCTAAACGCACCTTTGGACACCCTATATTTAATTTTTTTTATTTCGTAAGAAAATGAGTGACAACGAAGCAGCCAAGAGTCCAGACGATGAATATAAAAAGAAACTAAACAGAATTAAATCAAAAATATGCTATTACAAAAAGAAGCCACAATGCGGTGGGGTTGATGCCCATAAAACTAATGGAACTGAAAACGATAAAGAAATAATCGAAAAATTAGAAACTTACCGTTCAATCCTTAAACTGAGTGAAGCAAAAATAAAAGAATTTAATAGAATAAATAAATTGATTGGAAGAGATGAATTTAATAAAGATGAATTTTTAAACTCAATCCAAATTTAATTTTTATTCCTCTTTGACAACATCTCTCTTTCCATCATTACTGCATAACCACATTTTCTCAATTTTAGTGGTTTGTTATTTTTAACATGTTCTTGCATCATTTTTATCATTTCCTCCCTTGTTATGATTCATGGTAAATTTTGAGCTTGTGGGGTATCCATTTATGATAAAAATAAAAATTTAAATTATGCCGTTCTAAAGTTTGTGACAACATGACATTTTGACAACAACACAGGAGGAAGGCAGTTATGAATTATTTTTGAAGAACTGAAGGTGCTACCATGTTACCATGTGCTACCAGGTCATTTAACTTCTCTGAAAAAGTGTGACAACATGACATTTTGACAACAACACAGGAGGAAGGCAGTTATGAATTATTTTTGAAGAACTGAAGGTGCTACCATGTTACCATGTGCTACCAGGTCATTTAACTTCTCTGAAAAAGTGTGACAACATGACATTTTGACAACAACACAGGAAATGATTTGTCATGACTTCATCGGAATGAGTGTAAATGACCCAAAAATAAAGTTAGTTTTAAAATTATTTTTATTTTTTATTTTGTATGTAAGAACAGAAATGTCAGTCGAAGCAAAAACATTCACTAACAAATCTAATGGCGAAACATTCACAAAAGGCACTTATAACGGTATTGAAGTCTTACGTAGAGACAAGGATGGTTACATTAATGCAACAAAGATGGCAAGAGAAGCAGGAAAGTTAAACCATTTAAACAGATTTCTCAATAGTGCTAAAATACAGGAAATTCTTGAGTTTTGGATGAACGAATACGGTGGAGCCAAAAGTGGCTCGACCTCAAAACAAGCATTTTATGAGCTTACTAAGGGTGTTATAAATGAATTCAAAGGTATTTACATACATCCTGACCTCGTTCATTTTGTTGCTGAATGGTGCTCTGTAAAGTATGCATTTTATGTCAAAGATATTATGGACTCCATAGACAAGAAAGTTCATGAGAAATTAGATGAAGAAGAACTTGAAGATACAGTAGAGAATGCTAAACCTTTGTTTGAAGAAGAAGTTGGAAAAATGTGCGAAAAACAATTAGAACATGAACGTGAGTTATGTTATGGTTATAGAGATTCTCCATACGAACTAGACCAATGGGAACAAGAAAATTTAAAGAGAGAATTTAGAGAATATGAACTCGCTAAGATAGCATTAGAAGCTGCAGAAAAGAAGTTAAAAGCTTGGGGTTGTTTTGTACAAAAATATTGTGAGTAAATGAACCATTTATTTTTATTGAATTCACCAAAAATAATTTTTAGGGTAGATGGTTAGATCTAACCTCATTTCT